CATTTCATCTTATAATTATTAATGTACATATAATTATCTCCCTATTAAATTATAAGTTTTATGAAGACAGGATTGCCATCTAATCTGTCTTTGCATCTCTCTCGAAATCTTTACTACTACTGTGTAAGTGATTAATAAATATTTTTGAAAGAAGAAAAAAAGAACAGTTCTGTTTCTCTACCTGGTGGTGGTTAAACTAATTCTTCATCATATAGTATATTTATGATCTATGTACTTTACTCAAATTATATTTTACAATAAGAAAGGTTAAAAAGAAGACTTAAGAAAAACAGGACTTGGTTAATTTTTTTGTGTGTGTACCTGACAAAGCAATCATGGTTAATTTTATGTCAACCTGGCTGGATCACAGAACCTAGGTTTTGGTCAAACATCAGTCTGGATGTTGCCGTGAAGTTATATTTTAGATGTGACTACCATTTAAATCAGTAAACTGTGGTAAAGCAGATTACCTTCCATAATGTGGGTGGGCCTCATCCAATCAATTAAAGGCCTTAAAAGACTGAGTCCCCTGAGGAAGGAGGGAATCCTGCCTCCAACTGCTTTCAGACTCAGACTGCAACATCAACTCTTCCCTGGGTCTCCTACACATTTTGGACTTGCCAGCCCCCAACCAACTGCATGAGCCAATCTCTAAAAATAAATCTCTCATGTGGTATTAATCAGGGTTCTCAGAGAAACCAACCGAACCAACAGGACGTGTGTATATATATACATACATAGAAAGATTTACTGAAAACCCTATAGACTGTAACTTCTGAAAATTTCTAGTATAATAAATCTCACATTAAAAAAGAAAAAAACCCCCAACAGTACGTGCATGCTAGCATCATATTAACATTTGTATCTTTAGAAGTCTAAGTCAAATGTCTTTAAAATCAAAACAAATAATTGCTTTAAAATTTTTATTTAAGGAACAGAGTCATGATGGCTAAGGTCATGAAACTAATGCTTTGAAATTATTATTCCTACTGCAAAAAACAAAAACAAAAAACCCAACACTTCAATAGGTAACTAATAAATGATGGCTAAGATCAAACCTGAAACATTCCTCTGGTCCAATGGTTACCCAGAATCTGCCTGGTCTTCCTCTCATGCTGCATTTCAATTCTAATTATATGATCAAACCAACAAACTGAGCTCCAGAGACGACCAAAAAAAAAAAAAAAAAAAAAGTACCTAGCTGACAAAATCAGAGGTTGCAAGAAAATGCTTGCTTTTCAGGTATAAGTAACATAAGAAACAACAAGTGAAGTGAAGGAGAGGTTTCAAAGCTTAAAAGACAGTCATCAATACTGACAGATTACTGTAATTCTGGCTGCCAGCATTATCGATTAGGGCAGCATATGACAATCAATATCGTCCTCATTTAGTGAACAACATTAGATTCATAGTTACAGAAAATGTTCCTAGGATAAAATTTAAACTGTATTTAATGATCATAAATAGCACAATTTATGCTGTGGAATCTTAGTGGGTACTTTTATTGGGCATAAGATAACTGACACAGCAGTAAAATTATCAAAATATAACTGAGTTTATTACTTTTTTTTTGCTCCTTCATTTCTTTTATGAGGATTAAAGTATTAACTTTGGTGGTTTTCAAATTCTACTTCTATCTCAATTTCTGTTGTAATTTATGTTAACTTTATTGATCTGTTTTAGAGTGCAGATTTTCTCCCTAATGAGAACTTAATCTGGACTAATCAAAAATAAACATTTCAAAATCAAATACATTATATTTCTGAAATAGGTATTTATTTTATTTTATTCTACTTCTCAAAAACATTGTAGTTGATTTTCATGCCACTTTACCTGTTCCCCCCTCCCCACATTGTATCTGTTTACTTGACTTAAATAGTTCAAGGAATTGAAATAAGTATTTAAATTAAAAGATATACCTACATTTCAATATCTTAAAATACAAATGTCTAGTTGTAATTTATATTGACTTTCATTTAAAAATCAATCTACCTGTATTAAGTAACTTTCCCCAACATTTAGAATTAATACAAAACTTTGTCCATCTTTGTGAGAAATGATTCTGTGTTCTTCGGATTAGTAAAGGCTATAAGCATGTCTACTTTATACTTAAATAGTATGGGAAAACAATTTCCTATAGTTTCCAAGTCAATAAATATCTAGTATCTACTATCTTGTAATAAAAACAAAAACAACAACAAAAAAAACCAAACAAAAAAATCTGTTTGATCTATCTGATTTAATGTTTTTACACTAAGTGTTCCAGAAGCAATTTCGCTGGTAGAAACTGTTCATGATTTGCTTGAAGTGTTTACGTTTACTGTTTTTATATAAAATTATCTCTTATTCCTAGAATTTTCTCCAATGTACTATCTATTAACTTCTCAGCCAGATTAACTATTGAAAATGTCATGAAGTAGGCCTGAGAATACAGCCCAATGAACCAACCTACCAATCAACCAAACATAAAAATCCAATTAGGTAATTCCTTGGTGTTGGGTAGAGTTGTTTTATATTGACAATAACCTTTAAAATTAACAGAATTAATCACTGCACAAAATAATATAACTTATTATTAAACATTTACTAAGCACATCTAAATCCATTATTTCATTTAATCTTTACAACAATTATGAGATGAGTATGAATATCTTTACAGAAGAAGAAAATGAGGTTAAGAGAGTCTGTGATTTGACCAAGACCACAAGGCAGAGCTCAAATTAAAATTAACGTTTTCTAACTGCAAATCCACCTTTCGTATCTCTAGTGTAACATGAAATCTGAAATAGAAGAATATTAACGTGAGTGGGTGTAGAAAAAAAATTAAGCCATATCCCCAAAACTCTTGATTTGCATTTTAAAAACTACTTGGTAAGGTGTGCATCTTAAATGTTGTTTGTACCTTGGGGCTGAAAATTTGTGTTTGCTCAATAAATCAAGTTCCTGTTTTCTGACACAAGAGGCAAGTAGAATTTTGCATTACAATCTAACCACTTTCCAAAAAGATTTAAGGCATTTTTTAAAGTTCAATCTCTTCCATGTCCACCTCTGTACTCCACTTTCAATTGTGCCTTAAATGAAATGGTGGAGGACACTAAACCTCAGGATAAAATGAACATCAGGATCAGGCAAACTGTGAAAGAGGCAAAGGTCAGAAGCAGATATCCTCAGTGAGGCTAACAATGTAGATAAAATTATTAGTAATAGCCTATATATTCTGTGTAAGATTAGCTACCTTTCTACAGACAGTCAGGAGACAATAAACTGAAAAGTATACTCCAAGAAAAAGACCAAAACTACAAAGCTTTTATGAAAGTATTACAATGAGACGAAAATCAGAAGAATTAAAATTTAGAAAATGTAAATTAGGAAAGGGAGAATTAGTCAGTAGGACCTTCAAACTGGTAAACTGTGGGTATGGGTTTCATGAATCAATCTCCTCGTAGCTTACTCACATCTGAGTGAAGCAACTTTGAAGATTCCACACACCAATGGGAAGAAAATGACCCTGACTTCTGGGTGAGCTCAGCAGGGTTCACAAAACCTCTGAGGGTCTTCTTGAATAGATCTTCCTTAATACTTCAAAACAATCAGCAGACTGCACAGTCTTCAAAACAATGCTCCAAAACAATCAACAGACTGTACAGTCAAAGACAAGTGATTTGGAAAATAAACTCACTTTCTCCATGTCTATACTACTCACTGAACTTTCCCACTGAAATTTCTTTTCAATTGGTAGATCTCTATTTAGTGGATTTCTCCAAATTTTATTTTTGTGATGAATTCAAGCCCCCTGAATCCTTATCATTTCACTGAAATGACCACTTCAAATTTAAGTTTTCAACTTAAAGTGAAGATATAAATGCCACCAATAAGAAATGTTATATAAATGTCATTATTAAGCTTAATCAATGTAACATGCCATGATCCACCTATAATCCCATTTCATAGTGTCAGAATACATGAGAAATTACATAGGAATCAGATTGCTTATGTCGATTTTCATTAAAAGAAGAAAATATACATGGTACACTACCAAGTTACGATAATAAATCCATTTCATGTGGAATGGAACATGAAATATTTTAAAAAGCCTTCCTTTTAAAGCTCAACTTTTACAGTTTATTATGTAAAAGAAAAATAATAATAAAATGTTTTTAAGCATATAGAAAAAGTGTACGGAAAACACAAATTCACTTTAGAAAAGAATATCAGAAAACAATTTAAAATTTAAAACTTTGTGCCAGGCACTGTTTTAAGAGCATTAAACATATTGACTCATTATTAGTTCTCTTAAGACCATGAACTAGAAATCATTCTGATTTTATAGAAAAGGAAACAGAGGCTCAGAGAGGTTAATCAACTTGCCCAAGGCTACACAGCTAAGGAAGTGGCGGTCAGCTTTCAGTCCAGGCATTCTGGTTCCAGAAGCTACGTTCTTAAGCACTCCATGTCCTCTCATACCTCCATGTCTGTTTATGTTGCTCCCTCTGCCTGAAAGGCTCTTCTTAATCTCATCCACATGATTAACTCTTATTCATCCTTCAAGATTGGTTTAATCCTCATGTTTTTCAGAAGTGTTTTCTGATACCATCACCCTTTCCAGCTGAGTGAGAGGCCCCTTGTTATTTATACAGTACTTTGAAATACCTGCGCATTGAAATACCTCTATGACAGCATGTATACTGAAAACAGGATGTTTCCCCAACTAGATTGAGTTCTTTGCAATGACTGTTTTGGTTATTTCTGTAACCAGAATGGCAGAATGCCTGGCACATAATGGGAGTCTAATTAATTAAAGATCAGTACTGATTAAAAGTATATAAAAGAAAATACATCATTCAAATATCATAATTGCTCAAACACTGGGGAGGAACTCCATTTTCTATATATCAATAAACAGAAACTCAAAGGTCTTAACAACACAAAAGAAATATTTATCTTGGAAAGAAAACATATATTAGAGTAGAAATCATACTGTTAAAAAAAAAAAAGGATACAAGTTTTGATACAATGGAATCAGCGATTTCAGAGCACGGCTTGCATTTATAGCTGTTGCTCGAACCATAATGGGTAGAACCTTTCCATTCACAATAGCACCATCAAAAAGTGGACCAAAAAAGGGAACCTGATTGAGAAATTAGAACATAATTTGATTCTCAAATTGCAGAAAGAGTATAAATAAGAACAATCAACATACTTTGCATATGTAAGTGTTTGTTTCCTCTACAGTTCTTCAGTAAAAATACTATTTGAATTGAATTCTTTTCCATACTAGGTCACTCATACTAGGTCAATAAACAAACAAAAAATGCCAAAGGTCTACAGAGTGTCCATTCAAAAGAACCATGTGCTTCATATAACTGACTAAATTTATATATCCCGCCAATTTTCAAATTTTTGTAATCTCAATTGTTTAAAAAAATGTAACACTGGAAGTAAACTCCTTTTTCTCCACTGAGCTAACAAGGCAAAAAGTTTTTCATTATTTTTGTGTGATACCAGCTTCACTGCAGAACCTAAAGCACTTATTATGTGGTTTATTAGAAAAAATATGCATGTATTGATAATTAAATGTTATTTTTGTCAGCTGACTGACAATTTCAGAAGTTATTCCATTTGAATATGGCTGGCACAAATGGCAGTTCTCGAAGTCAAGGACATGAGCTGTGGATAACATAGCTAATATTTTATGTTTTGTAGCCACATGTTTGTTCTATATTCTTCTTCAATTAAAAAAAAACAACAAACCTTTAAAACTGTAAAATAAAACATTCTTAGCTTGCGGTCTGTATGAAATCAGGCTGTGGGCCATAGTTGGCTGACATCTGGTTTAGATAAACTGTAAAAATACTTGGCTATTAGTGAAAATCACATGTGGGAAACAACCCAATTCAAGGAATTCTGAAGATTCATGATCAACTGTCAAAAAATACATTTTCTGGGCCGGCCCGGTGGCACACTGGAGAGTGCGCTGCTTGGGAGTGCGGCGGCGCTCCCCCCAAGGGTTCAGATCCCATGTGGAGACCGGTTCCCGCTCACTGGCTGAGCGCAGTGCGACACCGAGGGTTGCGATCCCGTTGCTGGTCCCCAGTATGGGCGCGACACCGAGGGTTGCAATCCCGTTACCCGTCAGTAAAAAAGACAAAAAGGAAAAAAAAATACATTTTCTGATCAGTAATGGGATTGCAGCTATGAATAGCCACTGCACTCCAGCCTGAGCAACATAGTGGGACCCTATTTCTTATTTAAAGAAAAAAAAAAAAAAGGTTTCCTATAAACAAAAAGAACTCAGTTAAAAAAAAAAAACACACTAAAATACTACCAAACTTTTATTATCTAGAAAGAAAAAAATACTTCTGCAATAGTGTATTTTTTATATATCTATGTCTATCTATCTATCTATATGACACCCAACTATAGAATAGGTAACAGAACTTCTTGGCTTTTTTAAAAAAAAATTTTTTTAGAATTCTCATTTATTAGTGACATGACTAAATAATCATGTATTCTTAATAAGATGTGCCAACTAAAAATATACGAATTATATGTTCCTATTCTAAAGGGAAAGATTACTTCCTACTGTGTCTTTTAGAAAACTGTAATCATTCTCTTAATAAAAAGTAAATCCTTTTGTGAGCTTAGCGTAAGTGAACTTTCGCTGTGCCACTGACTATATATCTCCCATTCAAACATAGTTTCTTGCTATTTATCCTGTTTTAGCTCCCTCTGAACCAGGCTTAAACAATTCACATAGCTGCCAGAATCTGTGTTGCATTTTCCCCATTTTCACAACTTGATGCATAGTCCAGTTTTTCTACTGTAAGATGGACAGACATTTACAAACTCACATAGAACTCAAAATCTATTATTAAAATGGAAGATAAGGAGCTGGCTGGTTAGATCACTTGGTTAAGGAGTGGTGCTGACACCAAGCCAAGGGTTTGGGTCACCCTACTGGCCAGTTGCCAAAACCAAAAAGGGAAAAAAAAAAAAGGAAGATAAGGAGTTCTTACCTCTGGTTTTTTCATTATCTGGATACTGAACATGTGATTTTTCATTGGATATATTACAATAAGGACATCACCAAATTCTGTAGGAATAATTCCTCTCCTGTAGTCTCTAGTATGCTCTGACCAAACAATGTGCACTTCATCATTTCCTAAATGTCTCAACTGGAAAACCAAGAAAATAATTTAAAGTGCTTTATAAAAGCTCTGTGAATATAGTCTACCCCTACTGACAACATACTGTGAAAAGAAATAAAAAAAAATTAATTTCATTTAATCATTTTCACATGTAAAACACAAACACTCAAGGACATTAGAAGACACTGCAGAAAACCAAATAATTCCAGTTGTCCATAGTCAATGAGAAAAAGAGAGAAATTAGATAAAAAAAAAGATTCACGTATAGCCCAAATACTCAACTAGCAACTGCACCAATTCTCTCCTACAAATCTTTTCAAAGATTGTTTAAAATAGTATTTTAATAGTGACTGATTTGAGATTCTTCTTTTTTTCCTGACCATTCTCTGGAAGTGCTAATGAACAGTAAAGTGGCCTGAAGAAGGCAAGAGGAAGAGAAGTAAAAGAAATAGATAATTCATAAATTGGATAATCACCTATTGAGTAAGAGAAAGTTGATTATGTTCGGTTTTTTTTTTTTTTCTGTCCTTTTTGTGACTGGCCGCACCGCGCTCAGCCAGTGAGCGCACCGGCCATCCCTATATAGGATCTGAACCCGCGGTGGAAGCGCCGCTGCGCTCCCAGCACCGCACTCTCCGGAGTGAGCCACCGGGTCGGCCCTTGGTATATATTTTACCTAGCTTTTCTATAGTTATTTGGATACAGTGCAGGTGGGAAAGCCTGGAAGAAAAACTAGAGATAAGTGTCAGTAGTATTTACACTCTGAGCTAACATACAGGCAATTTCTATTTTGGAAATAGTCATTTATTTGGCTTAAAGATCACAAGGTAGGAAAAAAACTTAATGTGTAATTTAAACAAAGAAAGGAGTTAATGCAATTAGTGAAAGATTCTCTTCTGCCATTCCTTAACCCTGGAGTAACTCATTATATCTGTATGTGTATATACATATATACGTACGCATATATATATATATATATATATATACATACATATACATACACATACACAACTTGAATGATATAAATGCAAGACTTGAGCTTTGTGACATTTTTAAAAAGCAAAAAAGATTACTCAACTCAGAAAAGCCATGGCTCTATAATTTCATTTTTTAATCAAAATACTTTAAAAATATCCTTCCTATACAGCCATCCCCATGTGTCAGCTTCCCTAATAGGTTTATGTTAACTGAATACAAAAGAAATGTGAAATAAATTTAACCAGGAGGGATGATCCAATCTAATTTTGATACATTAATGTCATATGCTGTACATGTTACAATAGCAGCCAGATCTAATACTAAGCTCCAGGCTATACTGAGATTTCCAAATGGCAGATTGTTCTAAGTGATATCAAGTATAATTGAAGTAATAAACGGTAGTAAAAGCTGAGCACACTGTCAGGAAGAATTTAAGTATTTACTTTTTAAAATTAAATGAGTTAGGTTAGGAAAGACAAGACAACTGAAATAATGCAGGTCTCAATTTGCAGAAAATTCCTTTTATTTATCTGCTACATTAACCCTTGAACTTTTGCCAAAACTATCTATAATTTCTAGTTGCTCACTTATCTAAAAGAAATGAGAGAAAAGGGCAACAGTACTTTTATCTTTTAACCAAAGCTTGTCTTCAAATATCTTCCATACAGTATTAAAAGTCTGTTATAGAAGTTTAATGGAAAAGAACAACATATTTTGCCAAAATGTCATAATGAAGATTTCTGGCACAGAACCATGCACATAATAAAGTCATTCTCAACATGTTCAAACATTTTAAGGGAAATGCTTCATGTAAATCCCTTATTTATATTCAAATGCTAAAAAAGTAATTACTTTGGGCTGTCATCATGAGGCATGTTTTTATATCTTTAAAACCTGCTAAATAATAATTAAACACAAATTGAGAAACTTCTATAATTGTTGCTACGTGTCTTAGGAATTTTTGAATGACTACTGAAAGAATGAATTTTTAATGGTTAAGAGTTAATAAGAGGGGCTGGCTGGTTAGCTCAGTGGGCTAGAGCACAGTGTTGTTAACACCAAGGTCAGAGGTTCAGATCCTGGAACTGGCCAGCTGTCAAAAAAAAAAAAAAAAAGTTAATAAGAAATTACAAGTGTATGTGTATTTGACGTACATACTCTACATAGAATTTTATGTTTATTTTATGTATTCCTTCTCTTATGGATTTTCAAGATTGTCTGCAGGCTTTCCTATACTCTGAAAACTCTTTAAAGGAGTTCCTACTTTCATGTTTTTGGACCAGATCCTGATTCATTTCTGGCATACGGTACAAGATTTCTGTACATGGGATATGCCTGTTAAAATGACTGGCAATCAAACTACTCTTGCAAATTTATTTCAGCTGCTGCTGATGTCATTTTGGAACTCAAGGAATATAACATAAACCTCAATACATTATAGAATGTTATTACTGGAGAAGATCTTAAAGCTATAATTTCCTACTCAACACAAAAATTCTTGTTGTAATATCCCTGAGAAGTAGATACTCTGCCTCTGCTTGAATACTTCTAAGGATGGGAAGTTCACTAATTCACAAATCAACCCATTTCACTTTTAAAGAGCAATAATCATTAGAACATTTCTTATACTAAGCTAAAATCTGCCTTCCTGAAACTAGTTCTTCCAAAATGAGCCTTACCAAATAAATCTAATATGCATTTTATGTATTATCTTTTCAGATATTTAAAGATTGGCCTAATATAACCTCAATTTTTCTTCCAGGTTAAAAGAATCCTTAGTTCTTCTTCTTATAGTTTACAAACATATTAATTATCCTGGATTACTACTGCTTCTTGGCCTTTTGGCTAAGATCACGTGTATCCTGGATTACTGTCCCAGTTCATTGATGTTTCTATTAAAGTGTCATGTATGGAACAGAATATAATATCAACATATGCTCCGACTAATACAGCAAACCCATAGTGGAACTGTTTCTTCTTTTGCTCTGTTCACTTAATTCTTTTCTATAATTTTCAAAACATTGGCTCAAATGTAACTTGTAGTCAATTCAACCCCAAGTCCTTTTCTTACAAAGTTCTTTTAAGCAGGTACAGTTGACTGCAAGAACTAATGAGAGGATTTCATTTTTATTCTTATTAGATTTTATCTTGCCAGGTTCAGATTATCTTTAAGCCTATTAAGGTCTATTGTTAGCCTGACTCTGCTCTTCTATGTGTTGGTGCTCTCTTTCCCAGAGATTTGCATTATCCTTAAATTCAAATTCTTGTGTCTTCATTTAGGGTTTAGACAAAAATGTCAAATGGGACAGGTCCGGGTAAAAGCCATATAGCAAGTCATTATAGGCTTTCCTCCTGGTTAAAAAAAAAATACCCTACATTTATTACTGTTATTTATTAAGCGCTTACTATTCTAAGTGCTTTGTGATAATTCATTTAATTTCACAACAATGCTACAAGGTAAGTACAATTATTATTACCTCTATATTTAAAGGTGAAGAATTGAAGCTTAAAAGGATGAAGTAACTTGCCTAAGGTACAACTAGTAGGTGGCAGCGCCAGGATGCAAACCCAGGGACTATGGTTCCAGAATCCATACTTTAACCACCTCCCTATTTTGCCTCTTTTTAAATAATTAACTTCCATGTTCTGAATATGATTATACAATCAGTCATGAATATACTTACCAAACTATTATTAACAACACATTTCTTCAACATGTCTGTAACAAATGACTTAGTTAAATGCTTTATATAGTCTATGGTCTTCTCTAATCTAGCAATCCTATTAAAACAAATTCAGTTATTTTGATGTGATTTGTTATGGTGAACTCATGGTGGATCCTAGTGATCACTACTTCATTATCTAAGTGCCCATAAACCATCTGCTTAATAATCCTATTTTGCCAGGCATTGACATGGAGCTTCTGAATGTTGGTAATTTTTGCAGTCTATGCCCTACTCTGTGTCTTTTTGTGAAAATCAGATGTTTGCCCATTGCTATCAATTGAATGTTTGTGTCCCCATAAAATTCAAAGGTTGAAATCTTAATCCCCAATGTGATTGTGTTAGGAAGGGATTACTTCCCCTATAAAAGAGACCCCAGAGAGCTTGCTTCCCCTTCCGCCATGTAAGGTTACAGTGAGATTACAGTCGTCTGTGACCTAGGAAGTGGTCCCATACCAGTCATTTAATCTGCCAGCACTTTGATCTTGCCAGCCTCCAGAACATGAGAAATAAATTTCTGTTGTTTGTAAGCCACCTAGTCTGTGGTATTTCTGTTATAGCAGTCTGAATGGACTAAGACATCCATCTATAGCAATGTTCTCATTCTCCATGATTATCAATAGGGATTCCAGAGTTAATTCTAGATTTCCTCAGTGCAACAAAATATCATTCATCTGGGGCTGGAGGCTAGAATTCATGTAAAGTAACTACACTATCTCTCTCACAAAATCAGCTTAAACTCCTGACTGCCCCATTTCTGTAAAAAGTAACTAACAACTAATTATAACTACTCAGGATCAAAACCTGAGAGTCTTCTTTGATTCCTGTTTTCTTTACTACATGTTTAACAAGCTCTTCATTTTTTAAAGACAGTATTACAGTATAATCCTTTTTTTTTTTTTTTTTTTACTTTCCTTCTTATTTCCTCTGTTGTTACCCTAGATCAGACACTAGTCATGCTACATACTTGAACTGGTTTGTGAGTTCTTTTTTTTTTTTTCCTTTTTGTCTTTTTTACTGACCGGTAACGGGATCACAACCCTTGGTGTCTTTTTTTTTTTTCCTTTTTGTCTTTTTTACTGACCGGTAACGGGATCACAACCCTTGGTGTCTTTTTTTTTTTTCCTTTTTGTCTTTTTTACTGACCGGTAACGGGATCACAACCCTTGGTGTCTTTTTTTTTTTTCCTTTTTGTCTTTTTTACTGACCGGTAACGGGATCACAACCCTTGGTGTCGTGTTGCGCCCGCACTGCGCTCAGCCAGTGAGCGGGAACCGGTCTCCACATGGGATCCGAACCATCGGTGGGAGCGCCGCCACACCCCCA